CAGGGGAAGCATGACCCTGAGATGTGTTGATCTGAGGATGGAGCTGTTACTGGATACCAATTTCAATTACATTAAAGGTCCCATCTAATTACCAGGAAACCGAAGATGAGCTCCCATCATCGGCCAAGAATTATATGCCATATCTGGTGGCCCCTGGAAGGAATACTGATAAATGTTTTTCTGAATACATTTTACATGTATTGATGCACTATAATTACAAAGAGATATTGGCAAAAATACTGGGAAATTCTCATAAGCTCAACTTAATGGGCAAACTGATAGATATTTCTAGTTTCATCTTCCAGAGCTGGGTGCCTTTGTTCAATGTTTTGCTTTTTATTTTTTTTTAATTATTTTTTTTTAATATATATATTTTTTATTTATTTCTAGGAGAGAGAGAGACAGCATGAGCAGGGGAGGGTCAGAGAGAGAGGGAGACACAGACTCGGAAACAGGCTCCAGGCGCCGAGCTGGCAGTCAGCACAGAGCCCGACGCGGGGCTCAAACCCACGAACCGCGAGATCATGACCTAAGCGAAAGTCGGACGCTTAACCAACTAAGCCACCCAGGCGCCCCGAGTTTATTATCAGTGTGTGTTCTTTTATCAGAATCTTGTTCACTCTTACTATTTTCTGTCTTACGCTGTGGTTGTGTTTCTCATCTTTTCCATTGTCCTTTTTTCGGTTATTTATTTATTTATTTATTTTCCATAGTCCTGTTTTCAGAGAGAATCTTCTGGTCTTCATATTTGTAGGTACCGAAACCCCACCCCATCACCCCCGAATAGTTCTTTTTCTTCTACTTAACTCTCACTGCTCCATCCCCATGTGTCACTGCAAATATCCTCTGATCTGTCTTGCTTCCTTTTTGTAAATATCATGGAATTTATCAACACCACGGATTAAATTTGTTGTCAGGTGTCCCACAGATATCAGTACTTTTTTCTGAGTGGTGACTGCAGTCAGATAGAACTATTCCTCAAAGTAAAGGAGTTGGTTTAATTCACCCACTTAGCAAGTATTTATTGGGTCCTACCAAGCATTTATTTGAATTTGGGCTGTGGAGCTCAGTGACAAGAAGTTTTGGATTTTGGAAATGTCCTGAGTTGCTGTAAACATTTCGTTTATACATTTCTTATACCTTTGAAAACTGGAAGTTCAGACTATTTTCTCAGCTACCTATTTTTAAAGATTGCACATGGACTATGGAGTCCAACAGATCTGGAATGGATTCTCTGTCACTTATTAGCAGTGTGACTTTGGCAGTAGGACTTACTCTTTCTGAGTATCAACTTCTTCTTCATCTATTAAATGGAGATAACAGTATTTATATTTCAGGCTTGTGAGAATTCAGTGAGGGAATCCATATAAACCATGGGCTTGTGGTATGTGATCAGGAAATGCTGATTCCCTCTTTTTTTCTTGTGCTCTCCCCCCAGTAAAGAGCACAGTGACATTGATCAAATAGTTAATTACACTTCATTTTGATGCAGCACAGGCTTAGGCAGTCTGCCTTTTGAAAGAAGAGTGAGTATAAACTGTGTGTTATCCAGTCTAAATATCAGTAGGAGCTTCTGACTGGGAACTCTGCACAGGTGCAGTTTTAGGAAGGGAGCATTGGATTGAGAGAGGACCACGGTGTTAGCCTGTCTCCATCTTAGTGACTGTGATCTTTGGTAAGAAATCTCCCAGCCCCTTGGAGCCTCCGTTTTCCTGTCTGTGAAACGAGGATACCTGCCTAGTGTACCTTATAAGGTTTAATATGAAAAATGCATTTAAATAGCTTGTTAGGCAGATAGAAGAGGTTATTTATTTATTTATTTTTATTTAAAACGTTTTTTAAAATGTTTATTTATTTTTGAGACAGAGAGAGACAGAGACAGAGCATGAGTGGGGGAGGGGCAGAGAGAGAAGGGGAGACAGAATCTGAAGCAAGTGCCAGGCTCTGAGCCCGACATGGGGCTCGAACTCATGAACTCACGAACTGCAAAATCATGACTTGAGCTGAAGTCAGACACTTAACTGGCTGAGCCACTCAGGCACCCCTAGGAGAGGGTTATTTTTAAGGTATTCATGAGTGCTGGTTTACTGCCCCTAAGCAGAAGATTTCTGAGTAGTTTTGAGATGTTTGCTGCTCGGGCATCTTTTGAAACTTTGAGTATCAGGGGTGAATAGGGCATCTATGAGGATCTAACTCTTTGCCGTTTGTGTTTAGGCCACAGTGAAGATCTGCCCTCACATAGACACTTCCACCATGACTCCCCGGATTCATCTCCCCCCAGGAGGGTCCGTCACGACACCCCGGACCCGTCTCCCCCCAGGAGGGTCCGACACGACACCCCGGACCCGTCTCCCCCCAGGAAGCCTCATCGTCATTCTTCAGGTGTGTCTCCTAGGAGAACCCACCATGACACACCAGGTTCATCTCTTCCTAGGAGGGCCTGTCACAGTTCCTCAGATAGCTCTGTTCCCAGAAGGGCTCGAAATAGCTCACCTGATACATCTCAGCCTAGAAGGACTCGTGACTCCTCGGACACATCGCAGCTCAAGAGGGCCCGTCATGACTCCCCTGATTTGACTGCTAGTGTCCCTCATTCTCTGCCCAGACCCAAAAGCAGTAAAGCCCCAGAGAGAGCCTCTAGCAAAATCTCTGCACATTCGAAGGGGCCGGGACCATCTCACACGTCACTCCCAAAGAACAGCAAATATGAGTATGACTCGGACCTCTCTCCTCCACGAAAAAAGCAAGCAAAATCCCATAAACATGATTCTTCTAAAGGTAAGCATTTGATTGTCCATGAGAGGGACTTACCCTTGAGTGCTTTCTTTTGGACCTTTTGTTGTGGTCTTTAGAAATGAGAATGGCATTTCTTTGGAGAAGGTTTAAAAACTGTAGGGAAGTGGGGAGAGTTTGGGCTAAGGAGAGTTAAAGTTTACAGTGACAAGGAAATTTTTTTTTTTAGTTTATTTATTTATTTTAAGGGGGGAGGGGCAGAGAGAGGGTGAGAGAAAGAATCCCAAGCAGGCTCCATGCTGTTAGTGCAGAGCCTGACATGGGGCTCGAACTCCCATAACCTTGAGGTTATGACCTGTGCTGAAACCAAGAGTGGGACACTTAACCAACTGAGCCACCTAGGTGCCCAAGGAAGACATTTATATATATATATGTATTATTTCTCTCTACCCCTTGTGAAAATACTACATGTTTGATGTAGAAACTTCAGAGTATATAGAAACGTACAAAGAAGCAGAAGAAAGGTTATACAAATTTCTGTCCTTCAAAGTCATTCGCTCTTAAGAGTTGTGGCCAATGTTTTTTTAAAGCCTTTTTCTATTCATTATTTATACAGTTGAACCCTTTCTGTGTAGTATATACATGTTATATGTATAATTTTATCTGGTTTATTCACTTAATGCTGTCTTCCCCATGTCATAAAAACATCTCTTAATTAATATGGTCTTTGTTGGTGTTCTGTTACATAAATGTATTTAATCATTTCCCTGATAGTCCGTATTTTAGGTTATTTCTAAAATTTGCTTTTATAATTCTGAAATGAACATTGTTGTAGATAAATCGTTGCCCCATTCTGGATTACTTCCTTATCTACTTTTAGATAGATTTCCTGGAAATTTAAGTACTTTTAGATATGTTTCCTGGGAAACAAAGTAGAAATTGATTCGTTGGTTAAGGGGCATGTAAAACTAAGTCTTAAAAACTAAGACTGTGGATGCCCACTGAAGATTACTTCTTCGGGAGGTGATTTGTGATGTTTCTGTCTATACCTCAGGCATGTGCAGTGAGATTCATTTAGTCCATCTTTGTCCCGAGGCACTGTTTTCATTCTTAACTAAAGTACGTCGTCATCCTTTAGTTTCCGACATCACAGTATCTTCTAGGCAGCTGTAACTTGTGCCACAGCACTGAGATCTGAGTGTGAGTTGTTTCTCCCATTCTGTGCTCAGATAAGTATGACAGAGGTGAGTATGTTGAGGCCTCACAGGCTAGTCACAGTCACCAGTAACTTGGGAATAGAACCTCACATCCTGCCTGTTGGTTTTAAAAGTTGTCCCTGACTCTGCTTTTTTCCCATGTTGTCTGTACGTGTGTTTAGGTTAGTGATAGCTCTTTAGAAGAGGACTGAATGAATATTTGACTTTAGCCTGATAGGTTCCGTTTTTAAGATTTCACCAATGGGATTAAAGACTTAATTTTTTAATTTCTAGACTCTTCCCCCAGCCATAGGAAATTTCATACAAACTCTTCGCCTAGGAGATGTTACCCAAGTGACAGTCGGAAAGCCTCTGATTCAGATCTTTCTCCTCCGCGGCAAAAGCAGAGTTCAGGGCACAAAGATTCTGATTCAGATCTGTCACCTCCGCGGAATAGACCTACATACCAGAGCTCTGATTCTGACCTGTCTCCACCAAGGAGGAAACAGAGGGCCAAATCTTCTGATTCTGATCTGTCTCCACCTCGAAGGAGTCAGCCTCTAGGAAAGAAGGTAGGAATTTTTAGGAGCCATATCCTTCTCTTAGGGCGACTGCTCTTTTCTAGTTCTGTGCAAATCTTAGAGATACAGACCAGAGAGGGAGGGGGGGAGCTCCTGGTAGTATTGTAAATCTAGCACAGAGCTCTTTGCTTCTTCAGAAGGCAGGACTGCCTCTGACCCAGCCTGCATGAACTTGCAGATACCAGTTCCTAAGTACCTTCTGACTTTGTATCCTCTTTATTCCACAAACGTCATTTTTTGTTGGGTCCAGAACTCCCTATTTTCTCAAGAATAAACCAAGAGCTATAGTTTACAGAGTAGACTTTGGAGCACAGACTTTGTGTTAATCAGATGACGTATCCTTCTGCTTCTGCTTATTGTCTGTGAGATTTGAGCAAGATATGTAATATCTCTAAGCCCCAACTTCTTCCTCTGTAAAATGGGGATAATAGTATCATATACTTTATGAGGTTATTGTGAGAATTAAATTGGTTTGTGTAAGTAAAACTCTTAGCACAGTGCCCAGAACAAAGTCAGACTTTAGCATGAGCAATTGATGATTATAAATTGGACTACAGGTTTCCATTCGCAGAACTTAAAGAGGCATTTAAAATATAAACTACTTTTAGAAATCATGCCGCCTGGGAGGTCAGTATTTTGTTTTATTTTAAATCTGTGATGAAGCTTGAATTGCCCAGGACATCTGCATGAACTTGGAGCAGTTGTTTTGTAAGCACCCCAGCGCTAGGAAAAGAATCTTAATTCCAGCGAGTTGGTTAAGAAACAGAATAATAAAGCCTGTGGTGTGCACATTTCCCTCCAGCTCAGACTTTTCAGTCTCCTCTGTAGCCCACGTGGTCCTGGCGGCCTGTCCGTGGCCCAGGAAGGGGCTCTTCTCTTTTGGTGAACAGAGCAAGGTCTGTGTTGCAGCTGGGCCCCTGGACATTTTAGTCACCTGTGCACTTCAGGGACAATTTCATATTAATCAACATTGGCATAGTGCTTAGCTATGCCACGATACACTGTGGACTCCATTTATGGGTTGGTTGGTTATCTTGCTATGAAATGGGGTTTGGTAAGAAAGTTTGATTTGGTCACAACTTGTCATTATCCTGAAATTTATCCACAATTGAAGGGCCTTAGACAGGTTTGAGTTTGTAGTTTAAATGGAATATTTTATCAGTGCGGGTCTACTCCTGGAGGGCTTAGAGCTTGATGCAGGTTTCTGATAGGGTGACCTGAGAGTGCGTCTTCACGTGTACAGTTTATACACTGTACTGAAAAGTCAGAACTATACAGATGCTTAGCCTTTTCTTTAATGTTGTTGGTTTGTATTTCTGTTTATTCTTCAAACTTGGTAGTACTATTAATTTCCATGAAATTCAGTTTTATTTCTTTCTGATTTTGTGACTCTTGCGGTCCATAATGAGAAGACAAAGCTGGAGTCTTTTGGTTTGGTTATTGCTCATCCTCAGGCTGTCTACCCTGGAGCCTGCTGCGACATGGTCTCCTGAATGATGGCTGCTCCCTTTTCCGTTGCTTAGGCTGCACACATGTATTCTGGGGCGAGAACTGGCTTGGTGTTAACTGACCTACAGCGAGAGGAGCAGGAGCTCAAGAAACGGGACCAAGAAACCACGGCGTTTGAAGGTAAAAATGTGAAAATGCAGAGACCAGTTGAGGCTCGTGTAGATTTTATTTTATTTTTTTAATGTAGCTTATTGTATCTGGTGTTTTAAACTTTTAATTGAGATCAAATTTCAGCTCTGGTTTTATGCATTATCTTAACTTCTTAGTGGTCCAAAGTGGTTCTTTTCTTTCTTGAAAAAGGTTAGTTAGACATTGGTAGGCACTACTTGTAGTCTGGCTGCAAAAGTTTTTATCTGGCATCGGAGTTCCACGTGTTTGATTTCAACTGTTCAGGATGTTATTCCCAATTCCGATATCTGGCGTTTATCTTTAAAAGTATAATTTTCCTTTGCAGCTGAATTCCAATATGCTGAAACAGTATTTCGAGATAAGTCTGGTCGTAAGAGGAATTTGAAACTGGAACGTTTAGAGCAAAGGAGAAAAGCAGAGAAGGACTCGAAGAGAGAGGAGCTGTACGCTCAGTGGGGGAAAGGGTAAGAGAACCACTGAAATGGAGAAAAAGACTGTGCTGACTGGAGGAGGTCGTTCTCTACTTCTCTGACCAGTGAGTTCCTTGTTCTGCCTGCAAAGCTGTTTCAGGAATGCAAGGCTCAGTGTGCTCGGTCCCCTTCCTGAGGTACTGGTGTACTCCACACTTGATTGTTGGTATTCTAGGACTTTTGCTCTTTTCAATATTTGGCCTACGCTGCTTAGGAAGAGGAGGTTCCCCAAATGTAGCGGTATGGGGTCCGCTCAGTGTGAGAGTGCACATGTTTAACAGGATGGCACGTACTGTCGGTTCTCTTTGCCCAGGCTTGCCCAGAGCCGGCAGCAGCAACAAAATGTGGAGGATGCGGTGAAGGAAATGCAGAAGCCTCTGGCGCGCTATATTGATGATGAAGATCTGGATCGGATGCTGAGAGAACAGGAGAGAGAGGGGGACCCCATGGCCAACTTTATCAAGAAGAATAAGGCTAAGGAGAACAAGAATAAGAAAGGTGAGCCTTCTGAAACTCTTCAGAGATGAAGGTGACTTGTGTAAAGAGAGATAGTCTTTAGGTTGATAACACACGGTCAGGTGCAGAGAAGGCTTTCCCATATCGTTTTTTAGGTTTCTTCTATTTGGGAATTTGCGTTCAGCTCAGTAGACATTTCTGTATAAAATTTTGGTTCCCGCCGCCCCTCAGCTCTGACGGGTTATTTAGGTAACTGACTTCTTTTCTCCCTGTCTCCTCTCACCAGCGAGACCTCGCTACAGTGGTCCAGCGCCTCCTCCCAACAGATTCAATATCTGGCCTGGATATCGCTGGGATGGAGTGGATAGGTAAGCCTGGGGGCTTCCTGCATTTTTATTTTCTCTTCCATCTGACCCTAACCTTTCCTAGCTGTTCTTAAATCACTCTACACTCGGCCTCATTCTCTGCTCTAATCACAAAGTTAATAATATGCAGTTTGCTTCCTTCTCTTACTGAGGTCCCCAAATCTCATTTCCCAGGTTTAAAATATTCCTTCTCCGTTTTTCCTTTTCAAAGTTTCTTTTAAAGCTCTGGACAAACAACTCTGGTGGTTCTGATAGGATACCTTTGTTTTTGACAGTGGTCATTTCTAGCTATATTTTCTAAGATTTAGAAGGGATGAGTGATTGGTGGTAGTCTGGAGTCTTTAGTATGTTGTACCTTTAAAATGTAGTCCTTGAACCTTCTCTTCATTGCCTTAGGAATGAGTTACTTATGATGTCTCACTGACCCCTGAGGCCAGCATCAATACCCACGTACTCTAACTTACTGTCTGTTGCTGTTGTGTGCTTCTGTTCAAAGTCTGCCCCTCTGTTTACATGTTAGATCCCATCTCCTCTTGCCGACGAGAGGACATTGTTCTAGTGGTTAGCAAAGTGGTTCTCAAACTTTTTGATCTCAAGACCCCTTTATACTCGAGGACCCCAAACAACTTTTGTTTATGTGGTTTATATCTACTAATATTTACCTTATTAGAAGTCAAACTGAGGAGTTTAAAAATAATCTATTAATTAGTTCATTAAAAACATAATAAAGTCTTTTCTAAAGACATTAAAAAAATAAAGTCTTTTTTAAAGAAAAATAACTGTATTTTCCAAACAAAGAAAATAGAAGAATTGATTTACAGTTTTGCAAATCTCATTCATTAATGTTTGGCTTAAAATTAGCTAGTGGAATTCTGCATTGAGTCTGTTGCAGCATGTTTAGTTGAAGTAATGGAAGAAATTTTAGCCTTAGAAAATTCAACTGTGGGGCACTTGGGTGGCTCAGTTGGTTAAGCGTCTGACTCTTGATCTCAGCTCAAGTCTTTATCTCAGGATCATGAGCTCAAGCCCTATGTTGGACTCTGGGGTGGGCATGAAGCCTACTTAAAAAAAAAAAAAAAAGATTAGCCTTATACATAGGTTGTTAGAAAAGGAAGATGTATTATATTTGCTACTACACAGACACTCAACAGGTCCTAGTTTCTTAAAGGTTATTTGTAACATGAAGTCTGAAACCGTATCAAAGAACTTTCAATACTGTTATATTAAAATCCATTTTTTTCTTCTTTGGATGGATCTTTTCCGAGTGCATGATTTTATAACATGTGCTGGTCATTTGGAAAATACTGGTTTGCTGAGTTTTTCAGACCTGCCAGATGTTGACATTTTTCATTATACAACATCAATGATTTTGTATTTGTTAACATTACCTCTGATCTCATCACCAAAATCTTAACAGAAAACTAGAGTTCATGGTGGCAGATACAAGTTTTTTGAAATTCTAATTCATGCCTTAAAGTCTTGAATTTTATCATTGGTGACAAATATCACTTGTTACTGAAGTTAAAGCTTTTTGTACAGGGGTGCCTGGGTGGCTCAGTCGGTTGGGTGTCCAACTTCAGCTGAGGTCATGATCTCGTGGTTTGTGGGTTCGAGCCCTGCATCAAGCTCTGTGCTAACAGCTTAGAGCCTGGAGCCTGCTTCAGATTCTGTATCTCCCTCTCTCTCTGACCCTCCCCTACTTATGCTGTTTCTCTCTCTCTCAGAAATAAATTTAAAAAAACATTAAAAAAATTTTTTTTTTAAATAAAGCTTTTTGTACAATAGCTTTTTTGTAGATTACATCAGATTTTGTACCTAGAGGATCAGATCCTCTATGAATAGAGTTTGCTTCTTCCTTTCCAATCCAAATGCCCTTTGTTTCTTTTTCTTACTTTACTGCACTAAAACTTCCAGTGCAGATGTTGAATAGAAGTAGTAAGAACAGACATCTTTGCCTCCTTCCTAAATCTTAGGAGAAGAACAGTCAGTGTTTTACCATTAAATATGTTGTAAGCTGTAGGTATGTTTGGAGATTCCCTTCAGAGTTGAGAAGTTTCCTTGAGAGTTTTGTTTGGTTTTTTTTAGAATGTATGTTGGATTTTGGCTCATTCTTTGATCCATGAGTTACTTAGGACTACATTGTTTAATTCCAAACATTTAGACTTTTATAGATATCGTGCTATTACTGATTTCTAGTTAAATTCTGATGAGGTCAGAGAATATACTCCATAATATTTTGATCTTTTGAAATTTATTAAGATGTGTTTTATGGCCCAGTATATGGTTTGTCTTGGTGAAGAGTCCATTTGCATCTGATACATATTATCCTGCAGTTGTTTTGGGGAAGTGTTTTGGAGACTATTTTTTGTATTTTTTAAAAATAAACTTTTTGTTTCAGAATAATTTTAGATTTATGGAATATTTGCAGATAGTATAAAGAATTCCTGTACACTCCTCATCCGGTTTTATTATCATTCATTACGTTACCATGGTACATTTATCAGAACAACATTGGTATGCTGTTGTTTTACTTGGATTTCACCGGTTTTTCCAGTAAAGTCGTTTTTCTGTTCAGGATCCTACATTGCCCTTAGTTGTCATTTCTCCTTCATCTGCTCTGATCTGTGACAGTTTCTCACTCTTTCTTTGCTCTTAGTAACCCTGACAATTATTTGGAATATGGTCACTTATTTTGTAGAATGCCCCTCAAATTGGGTTCATTTGATGCTTTTCTCATGGTTAGACCGGGGTTATGGGTTTTTGGAAAGAATGCCACAGTGGTGGCATGCCCTTCTCATCACATCGTTTTAATCAGTACCTGGTAACCATAGGGCATCACTGGCGTTAACCTCAATCACTTCGTTAAGCTGTAGTGAGTGTTTGCCAGGTATCTCCATTTTAGTTTCTCTCTCTCTCTCTTTTTTTAATGTTTTATTTATTTCTGAGAGAGAGAGAGAGCATGAGCAGAGGGGGTCAGAGAGGGAGGGAGACACAGAATCTGAAGCAGGCTCCAGGCTCCGACGCGGGGCTCAAACCCATGAACTGTGAGATCATGACCTGAGCCGAAGTCGGATGCTTAACTTAGCCATCCAGGTGCCTCTAGTTACTCTTTTTCCCTTCCATACTCTGTTCTCTAGAATTGAGTCACTGAGTTTAGCTTGTACTCAGAAGGTGACCTGTAGGTGGGATAGCTACATATGTTATTTGGACTTTTTTTTTTTTTTTAACGTTTTATTTCTGAGAGGGAGAGACAGCATGAGCAGGAGGAGAGGGTCAGAGAGAGAGGGAGACACAGAATCTGAAATAGGCTCCAGGCTCTGAGCTGTCAGCACAGAGCCTGACGCGGGGCTCGAACCCATGAACCATGAGATCATGACCTGAGCTGAAGTCGGCCGCCCAACCAACTGAGCCACCCAGGTACCCCTGGACTTTTTCTATAAGTATTTGTTTCATCACCCCATCTGCTTAGTCATTTATTATTTCAGTAATGACACGTGTATATTTTATACTGTGGATTGTAATCCAGTAATATTTTATTGCTCAAATTGTTGTATTCTTCAGCCACTGGGAATTCTTTAAGTGTCCCTTTTGCATGCCCTGTCCTTTTATTTTTTGAGCACTCTCTGACTTTCTGATACTGAACGATGCTCCAGGTTCATCTTGTATGTTCCTTGTCCCAGGCCTAGGATCAGCCATTTCTCCAAGCAGTCCTGGCTGCTTTTAATGGGTAACACTATTTAGAAACCAAGATCTGACTGATAGAAGTACTTGTTGCTGGGGTGTCATTGTTTCTAGGCCCGGCCAGCAGACAGAGCTGTGTAGTACGTGTCTAGTAATTCGTGTATACACACATATCTGTCATTATTTCTGTACCTACTTATCTGTACGTATGTGTCTGTATACATGTTTGTGTATACATATACGCAGATACGCATTCATACTGATGTAACTGGCTCTGGTGGGGGAAGTCCTTTTCTTCCTGCCTGTCTGTTACTTCTTTCTCCAGCACTTCGCGACCCAGGCCTTTTGCGACCCCATCTACTGTCCATTTTGCTCATCTCAGTATATATGTAAAACAGTATCAAAATTGAGAAATTCAGAAATAAGAAACAGATTTTCAACAAAAATACAGTATTCATGTGTAGTTCCTTTTGTTATTACCCTTAAAATTTCTAGTGAAAGTACCATTTTCCAACTGCCCTGCCCCAGTCCTGTTATGCCATACATTTGTAATATAGTTAGATTCATTTGTCATCGTTTGCGGTGCATCCTGGGATCTCCTGACATCTTGGATGATTTTTCCTTTTTATAGTTTATGTTACTGTTTACTTTTTCTTGTGTATAGTTCTGTGGGGTTTGACAAAGGCGTGGAGCCGTTCGTTCAGCACCCCACTACCGTATGGAACAGTTCCATCATTGTAAAATTTCCCTGTAAGTCCTCTTTTAGTCACTTATGCCCTTGCCACCAAACCCTTGTCTGTGATGAATGCTCTGCTTTCTGTTCCTATAGTTTTGCCTTTTTCAGAGCGTCACAAGAATGGAATCATACAATATGTAGCCTTTTGAGCCTGATTTCTTGCACTTAGCAAGATGTATGTAAGGTTCCTCCGTGTTCTTGCATGAATGCCCCACGTATGGCTGTATTAGTCAGTTGAAGGACATGTTCAGTTTTTAGTGACTATGAATAAATCTGCAGTAAACATTTCTGTATAGATTTTTATGTGGACATAGTTTTCAGTTTACTTGCAAATACCCAGTGATTGCTGGATGGTGAGACTGTTGAACTTGATAAACTGTTGAACTGCCACTTGTCTTCCACGGTTATCCCTTTAGTGTAGGATTATTGGTGACGAATTCTCTCAGTTTTTGTTGATATTAAGATGTCGTTATTTCACCTTTATTTTTTAAAAACTTTAATTTTGAAATAATTTTAGACAAGAACTTGAAAAAGTAGTACAGTGTGTTACAGCGTCCCCTTTACTCAGCTTTCCCCAATGATAGTC